AGTCATAAAATATTGGTATGTAGAGAGGTTTTGATCTCCACTGAGTCACCTCTAAGAATCTACACATCGGCTTTCTGCAAACTAGTGCCCTCCAAGTCTTATGCCCAAACTGTTTGGGAATAATAAATCTAACTCCTGTAGAGATTGGGAAGGCTGCTCAGAGGAACTCTTCCCTCTAGTGAGATTTAGGCTCCGGAAGGATGCAGGTAAGAAAGAATATTATCGAGAAATAGTTTGGAAGCAAGGAGAGTGGATGTTTCCAGTTATTCTTCCATGTTTCATTATTCTAAGAGCCTCAGTGGTGCAGTGGTTAGAGTGAAGTACTGCAAATGACTTCTGCTGCATCCAGCTTCCTGCAATTTGGCAGATAGACTCTCACCAGGCTCAAGGTTGACTCAGCCTTCCATCCTTCCGAGGTGGGTAAAATGATGAGCCAAATTGTTGGGGGTAACATGCTGACTCTGTAAAACTGCTTAGAGAGGTCTGTAAAGCACTATAAAAGTCTAAGTGATATTGCTATTGCTATTCTATTGATAGGATGAAGCTGGAAATCATTTAGCGGCTGAGCACACAAACAAGAACGTCATAAATGTTTATGGCACAACACCTCCCTAATCTTGAGAAGCTTAGTAGGTAAATCTTCACCCTTCAAGGTTCACTCAGTAGCAAAAGTAGGTTTTGGGGAGTTATCATGGACTGCCACTTCCGTGCAGTTTCCTTCCAAGGTTTTTTGAAAGCAGATTTCCCCTTTCCAAGGCCTGAGAGTACAGGACAGGCCAAGGTCTCTGAGATGGCTTTGTGCCTAAAGCAGGACTGGAAATGAGCGTATCTCAGGCTCTAGGCTTGTGACCACCAAACTGGGCCTTCTTCCTCCCCACAAAACCTATCCATTCAGTTGTTCCTGCTGCTCCAGCCCCAAATTCAAGGCTGCGGCTTTCAAGATCCAGGATCTTCCAAACAACTCATACTTTACACCTTTCTATCTGAGCTTCAAAGTCTGATTCTGAGGAAATGGACTGTTCGTCTGAGTGGGGACTTATGGCTTTTCACCCCATCCTGTAGACCATCCCCTCTGACTCTTAGGTTGGCTTTGGGAACATTGAAAGGGTTTCTGACTCCTAGCCATAAGACTCTGAACCAACTCCACGTGGTCAGCTGTCCAGAACCCATGTGGTTCGGTCCATCAATAAATGGACCTTCTTTTCAATCGACTCAAGCCTCCATTTTGTCTCCAGTGCCTTTCTCCCGGCTTGGAACTGGATATTTCTTCCAACAGTTGCCTTTATTTAATATTGCTTGATATCTTTATATAGCCCTGTGAGGCTTTGGGATCATTGCAAGCATTTCCAACTCCTAAATGTAATGAGACATGATAAAGATGGTGTACTAAAATGTGACATCAAGGAAAAAGGGAAAACGGATGAAATATATCTTTACTATTTTAAATTTTATAAATTTTGCACATGTTTAAATTCGAAAGCACTTGGACTTAAGACTCAGGCCAAGAGCCTCTTGGTTTCTCCACACACCTGGCCCGGTCCTGGTTGTTGGGTGTCCTTCATGTAATGAGAGCTACTAAAAAAATTATAACCTATCTTTCTGAATTGTGTTTGTTAGGTATAACATTGATACCAAATATGGTTTGGGTGAATAAATATATAAAACTTAGATATCATGGTTTAAGTGCTTATCACTTTAAGCACAATGCAGCAGGCAATTAGCCGATTAAGGGTGCGGTTAGAAGTTACAATATAAGGAAGCATTAGAAGCTGGAAAGCTTACTGTAACTGGCTGTTACTGTAACTGTGTGCTGCTGCGACTAACTGTGATTACTGACTGTGAGTGCCTGTGACTGAACTGTTATTGTTTGCTACTGTTTGCTGAATATCCAGCGTTTGTTTCTCTGGAGAGTGAAACCGGAGGAGGAGAAGATATCTTTATCGGCTGATAAAGATATTGCAAGGACTCTAAACTTGGACTATACTAGTGAGTCTTACTGGATGGAAATACTGTGAATGACTTAATGGACTGAATGACAATGCTTAAACTCTAACTGGATTAAAAACTATTTAAACTACAAACAGTGTTTGTGTTCAGTGTGTGTATACTCTGGGGCCCTTCCGCTCTCCTTTGGTTGCCTGGCTTGACTACTGCTGCAATACTCTTCTAGGGGTTAATCCCCAAACCCTAACAGTGTTGGAGAAATAAATCTTGGAATTCCTTGGTGTCTTCCGATCTCAGAAAAATCAGGAAAATTCATCTGCCTAGCTAAAATGTCACTTTCGCTGCTACAAATAATGTTCCTTCCTATATTTGAAGGATACATTTTTGGAAAAAAATATTAAGGAGCCCTGAGGGACAAGTGAAGGAACAGGAAACGTATTCTGTTTACAGAAATTCAGAATTACAGAAACACTTTCCTTTATTTCTCTTTCTCAAAAGCTATTCAAGATTCTTACACAATGCTGTTTAAAAATTATCTACTATACAATTATTTCCACACATCTCCCCACCAAGTGTGGGGGGGGGACCACAAAATTATCTGTCCATTGATGCTACTCACCGGCCCCAGATCTCAAAGGGCAACAAGGAAGCAATTCCAAGCAAACAAGATCACAGCAGGAATTACAAACAACCTGGAAATCCTGTGGTCAAAACCACAATCCCTTTTCTCCTCAACTCAATCTTCCTATAGGTCTTCTCCATGAAGGCCACCTACAGACCAGAACAGCCTTTACATCTGAAATTTTACACTGCTTTTGTCACTGCCGCAAACTCCCCCAAATATACTTGCTATTCATATACAGTAGTTTCTTCCACTTGCGTGCCTCATTCTTGACACAATCTAAACAGACATGGTTGGTTTTCTGAATTCCTGGAACTGTTTGGAAAAGATGAACTTTGAAACCCTTCTGCTTTTCTTCTCCTCTCATTTTCTCCTTATATGAGAAGCCTCAATCTGTAACAATAGCCTTAGAGCTCCTATCCCCAAGAGACGCTGGCTGGGGAATTCTGCGGCTGAAATCTTGTGGGCACCTAGGGAGAAAAAGGCCGGGTCTCTGTATGTGGCACTTCTATCATGTAACCATTATAAAAATGTAATGAACATTCAAAAAAAGATTTTTCACAATTTCTCCAAAAATATATACAGATAATCCCCAGGTTATGAGCGTTCTGTTACCGAACGTTCAAAGTTATGTGATAAACGTCCCCTAAAATTTACAAACAAATCCCGAAATTATGAATATTACAGAACCACGGCAGTTGTTCACTCTTACGAATGACCAGAGGTTCTGAAACATTCACCCCGCCTATTCCGCCCCCCACCCTCTACTCCCACCCACTTTGCCTGTGGAGAGTCACTTACTTCCCAAAGATCTCTCTTTGTCTGCATTTGCAGAGAACAGAGGCCTAACGTATCACAAGATCATGCAACATCAGTTGCCCGAAATCTTGTGCAATCTCACACTTTAGACCTCTATTCTCTGCAAATTGAGACCTGGACGTTTGCAAACCGACAGAAGACTTTGATCCTTCAGTCCTTCCCTCCATTTGCCGATTCATTGCCGAAGCCTCCAGAGAGATTGCGTTCCTGTAGTCTTCAGCAGCCTGTTGCAAAAAGCCTTTGTTGGCACCAGTGGAGCCTGGGAGGAGCAGATACACTCCTCTGAAGCCCTGATCCTATCTTACAGGCAAAGGCTGTTTGCAAAAGGCTGTCAAAGCCTACAGGAACACAATCCTCAAGCGCTTTGCCGACAACAAAGCAGCCGCATGCAGATTCTCAAGGTTGCTTTCTCGGTGCCAGAGGCCTTTTCAGGCTGATCTGCGGTGAGAAAGCAGCAAATGCAAGAGTGGAAGCAGGAAGTGATGTCGTTCAATATATGAGATTCACTCCCACAAATTCTCGAGTTACAGATGGAATGGGCAGGCTGCATTGCATTCGAACCCCGAGGACTACCCATTTCCAGCAAATTCTGCTCCTGATGGCCAGATAAGCATTATCAAACTAGTATATTGCCATCTTTTCCTTCCACCTTCCCGTTTAGTACCATTACGTTTGCCTACCAAAAAAATGGGCAAATTCTTTGTAGACAAATTTAATAGTCAATATATCAGCTGGAGTTGCAATGGGACATTAGAAATGAAATTCAAACCTTCTCTACACTCATCACTTGGAGCGTCATGTGGATTTTCTTGTGTGCAATAAGACTGGAATGTTTCCTGAAGCACCATCCACATTCGGGACACTCAAATGGTTTCTCCCCTGTGTGTATTAGCATATGATTTAGAAGGCTAGTTTTAATACTGAAGTCTTTCCCACAGTCTGGACACTCGTATGGTTTCTCTCCTGTGTGAGTTCTCTGGTGTGTCACCAGACTGGAACTCTGACTGAAACTTTTCCCGCAATCAGGACATTCAAAGGGCTTCTCTCCTGTGTGAGTCCTCTGGTGTATCACCAGGTTGGAATTCCGACTGAAACCTTTCCCACAATCAGGACATTCAAAGGGTTTTTCTCCTGTGTGAGTCCTCTGGTGTCTCACCAGGCTGGAATTCCAACTGAAACTTTTCCCACAATCAGGACACTCGTATGGTTTCTCTCCTGTGTGAGTCCTCTGGTGTGTCACCAGCCTGGAATTATCATAGTAACATTTCCCACAATCAGGACATTTAAACGGTTTCTCCTTGGTGTGAGTCCATGTTGCCATGCTCGCTAAAGCATTTATTGCATTGGGAGCACTTGTAGGGCTTCTCTCCCGTATGGATCCTTCCAAGAAGCACAACAGAGTTGTTCTGATCAAAGGTTTTGCCACATTCAGTGTATATGTACGGCTTTTCTTCAGTCTGGATCCTCTCATACATAATCAACTGTGATTTGCAAGTTGTATCTTTCCTACAACTGGCACATCTATGGAGCTTTTCCACAACTAATATTCTTGAGGAGATCAAAAATATGGACTATTCCTTGTTTAGATATGTTTTGATTTACCGGTCATTTTCTTCCTTCAAGAAAGAGGCCTGCAACACTGTATGCTCTACGTGGCTTTCCAGTTGACCTTTTTCTCCCCAATGACGTTTTCACTTCCCTCTTTTGCTGAATGGAAAAATAATCTCTATTGACTTATCATGTAACGTATGCTTGAATTTCACACACTACTTTTCCCAGGTAGAAATCTCTTTTTCCTCTTCTCTCGTTTCTCTCTTACCTCTTGAGGAAGGTGAAGAATTGTGTGGCGCTCTGAAGGAAATGTAAAATATTTTGATTTCTGGACTGACTTGCTTTGCTATTCAGTGTTGCTTGTTATCCTCAATTGTGCAGTGTTTTTATTGCCATCCTCTTTGTCTGTAAGATTCAAATAAAAGGGTATCTTTAATAGTTGCAGAAGATGAGAAAAAAAGAAAAACATTTACATTACAATGAAAAATGATGAAATTCAGTTGTTGACTGGGTCAATCACAAATTCTTAGCAGTGCAAAAGGTTGTTTTCAAATACAGTCAAGTGAAAAAGAAAGTACACTACCTTTCATTTCTATGGTTTTACTTATCAGGACATAAAAAATATCGCAACAGAACAAAATAACAGAATTGGAAGGGACCTTGGAGATCTTCTAATCCAGCCCCTACTCAAGCAGGAGACCCTATACCATTTCAAGTGGCTGGCTCATCTCCTCTGAAAAACCTCAAATGGGGAGACTGGTTAGCATTGCAGCAGGAATGGCTGGAAAATAGCTGAGCTCTGCCGATGTGAGGCCTGAATATATGGTTTTTGGACTATTGAGCAAGAGTGGGACTTACTAAAACAAGACAAATTGCTCCATCAGGGGAAATGAGGGATTTTTGGAAGAAATGGCATTGATGTTTCAAAACATTAAGGACACTATGACAAAGAACGCTAGAGAGATAAAGAGCCTAATGCATGGCACAGATGGGAAAATAGAAAACATTCAACAAGGGAAATGTGAATAAAGATCACAATGTCCAGGAAAGGGAGGAGATAACAGAAAGAATGGAGGAAAAGATAGAACAGACAAATTAGCAAATAAAGCAAGAAGATAAAAAGAAGACAGTAAAGATAAAAATTACTGATGAAATAAAGCAAGGAAAAAGTATTTTAAGAGATTTAAAAATGGATTGGGATAAACAGGATGATACTTTCGAAAGGGAGACAGGAGACATAGGAGTTTGGACAGACATTCTAGAGGCCTGGCAATATAAGATGGGAGAGATGGGAGAAATATATAGATTGAATAGTAAAGATATAGAGGTCGATAGAGACAAAGATCCAAAAGAGAAGCATGGGAGGCAACCCAAAATGCGAATAAGAATTGGAGCATTAAAACAAGCAAGAAATGATGGATAGAAAAGAAAGGTCTTTTAATATACTGGTGGACTGACTTAGGCCTGTCTAAAAGTTAGAATTGAGGTAGAAATAAGAGATAGAGGGAATATTAGTATACACATTTTTATATAATAGAATAAAAGTAATAACTAGATGGGAAGATTAGAGATTGGAAGAGGTATTAGAATGGCACATAGAAACAGTAAACAACTAAATAATGAAGGATTACATCTTAATACAAACATGCGTATTAATATTAAAATTATATAAGTTTGATTAATGTGATAAATATTACAATTATTATTTGTATCAAAATGAATGACACCCACATGCCACGCTGGGAAATTGCTAAAAAACAAGAGTTATATTTCAGACTTTACAGGCTTCAGTTAGCATGTTAAATGTTCAGATTCATGACAGTCCAATTAGAAAAAGACTGAACAAGTATGGTTTGTTTGGAAGGGTTGCCAGAGGAAAGTCTCTTCTCTCTAAAAAGGTCATAGCAGCATGGCTGAGGTTTGCAAAGTTGCTTCTGAACAAATCACATGACTTCTGGAACACTTGTCCTTTGCACAGACCAGACCAAAATGGAGATAATGCAATTGGCCAGAGGCCACCTGTCCAATAACTAAAGCTAGGCTGACATCGGATTATGCAACAGGACAATTGTCACAAAAACACATCTGCAAATCTACAACAGGATGGCAGAAAAAGAAAAGAACCAAGATGTTCCAATGGCAGTCAAAGTCCAGAGCTCATCCCAATTGGCGGGACCTCAAGAGAGTTGTGCATAAATAACACCCACAAAGCTCAATGAACTGAAACAATGTTGTAAAAAAGAGTGAGCCAAAATTCCTCAACAATGCTGTAACAGATTGATAAAGTCATATAGAGAATGATTACTTCTAGTTGTTGCTGCTAAAGGTGGTTCTACAAATTATTGAAACATACATTTTTCACACATGACTTCTGTGTTTTGGCTTTCTTTTTATAAAATAAATGATGACCTGATGTAATATGTAATGTGTTGTTGTTCATCTGTGGTTGTATTGACCTACTTTTAAGAATATTTTAAGGACCAAATGATTTTTACCGTGTCCAGATATATAAAATCATAGAAGTCAAGGAGAGTGTATTTTCTTTTTCACATGACTGCTTATCTGGAAGTCCTGGGGAGAGATTATACATTTGTAGATATATACATTGAGAGAGAGAAAAAATACACACACCTACAATAAGGAAAAAAAACCATGTCTTTCAAGCTTTCACTGTGGGTTAGGCATGTGACTGAAAGTACAAAAGGCATGCTTGACTATTTCTACATTTTTTTTTATAATTTCTATATCTTATCAGTCCTGTGCCAACTGCCTCTTATGTAATGAAGCAAAAGCAAAGAAATGTATCAATATCTGCCTTGCACTACACTCAGGGTTCCTTCCTCCTTAGGAGGGACCCATCTTTATTCAGATGAATAAATGCATTTATTCACACACTTGGACTTAATTTTTTGTTTTATCGAGCCACACCTGTCAATCTGCATGACACTAGCTTTACAGATGTGGGGCTTTAACTGATGAAATGATGCCTAAAGCAAGATTTGAAGCACCAGTTTTGCCCATGGAAGCCATAAGCTCCAAGTAAGGGCAGAAAATAGCTTCCACAATCCCTTTGGTCACATCTCAATTGAAGTAGTCCTCACTTACTGACTGCAATTAGGACTGGCATCTGTGTCACTAACCAATCTGATCAATAGCTATTTTTTTTTAAAGTGCTGCATTAAGCACAGTTGAACCTAGTTAATACACGGATGGGGGCACTGTACTTGTTAGCTTGAAATGGAAGGAAAACAAAACAAGAACAACCCAGAAAAGACCAAGAGGCACATCAGCCCGATCTTGTTGACCGGAAAACATCAGGTCCACTGCAGAATAATTGAGTTGAGGGGACGTTGGAGGTCTTCTAGTCCATCCCGTTCAGGCAGGAGACCCTATTCCATTCCGAACAAACGGCTGTCCAATCTCCTCCGAAGACCCTCCAGTGACGGAGCGCCCACAACCTCTGGAGGGGAGCCATTCCCAAAGGATCCACCTTCGCTTGAACGAGGCTTTTTAGATCTTCTCCCCAGCAGAAAATTGCAGCCACCAATTTCACAGCCTGCAGCCCCAGCGGGCTCCGATCTGGGGAGGGAAGGAACCTGCAGCAGCAGCAGCTGACACGCTTCAGCCCAGTTGCTTCTCTGCTTCCAGGCCGTGAAGGGAACCGAACAGCCCGACTTACTCCTGGACTCCCCTCCCACCTGCTGCCCCCACCTCACCTGCCAGCTGTTGCTTCGATCCGTGCAAGAGCACAGAAGCCGCTCTGCACACCACCTTCCTCCCATGAGCCATCCGGAAGAGGAAGTTGCTTTGTTCTCCCATATTTTCTAGCAATGCAGAACTCAATGATATAAAACTGCGTTTTTAAGCTCAAATGCGGATGGCACCACTGAATTGATGCCTTTCTAGGCACCGATATTGGTTTGCCGGCATCTAGTGACAGGAGGTGGAAAAACACGCTTTGTCCAGGCTCCACCAAGCATTTGGGAGATGTTTTCATCTATGTATATATAAAAACGAAAAACCACTCATGCGTCATCACAAAATGTCCAGAACCCCATAAAGCCTACAAACTTGAAATTTGGCCCGTATTGGCTTCTAGGTACTTGCTAAGAAAGGATTTTTTGATGCTAAGGAGTTCTACTCCCCCTCCCCACCAGGAAAGAACTCTGTTCCAACTGCCAGTTGCCTCACATCCCGTTACCTCAGTTCCACCCATGGAACTGCTTCTGAATAGAAAATAGGACAGAATAGAAAACAGAACTGCATAAAATAGAAAATAGAATAGGGATTAGAACAGAATATAAAAGGGAACAGAATAAAAAGGAGAATAGAACAGAATACAATAGAAGCATAAAGCTCGAAGGACCTCAGAGGTCATCCAGTCCAACCCCCTGCTCATATTACCAACCACAATCTTTTTAATCTGCTGGATTTAGGAGTGTCAGAAGATTTACCTAGGTACACCCCTCATCAAGACAGAAACCCATATGTATTTTGTCCCCAATAATGGTAAGAATGCGTGATGACCATTTGTCAAGAGAAAAGGGCGGAAGGTGCAATCATATTATTTTTCTGTTTTTCGATTCCTTTCCTGCTTTTCTGTTTTCATTCTTTGTTATTCTTTGTTTTGTACATTTTATAAGATTAAAAATTCCAAATTAAGAAAAGGAATGTGTATCAAACAAAGACTGAGGCAACTTTGATACATTTTTGTCTGCACATCTGCATTACCAACATTTTCCCCAACCCTTTGAAATGCCTTTTGGAAACATTTCTCTCACCGTATACAGTCAGTCATCTCCTCTTCCCAAGCCCCCCTTTTCTAGCCCTGCTGGGTCTGTGACTTCTTCGCTTTGACCCAATGGAGACTTTTGTGTATGCAAAGTTACAGAAGCACGAGGCATTTAGCATGGGTGTGCTTGGAAGTGAAGGAAGGTAGCACCCACCCTTCTTCGAATGAAATATTGTGTAAGGTTGTGTAAAGAGTAGACTTTGCTCAGGGATGAAGCTGGAAAACCAATTTGGTTAAACAAAGGTACTTCTTTTTTCTCCTTGTTTTTGTGTATCTTTGTGTGCTCTCAAGGTAATTGCAATTGCTAAATGTCTCTGATCCCTAGATATGAATTTTAAATTGTTAGAAAAGAGTTAAAAGCACTAAAAGAAAATGTCTTCACCCAGTTTTGTCAGCCCACAAAACAGGGTGAAGAAAACTGAATTCATTTTTCTTTCCTCTCTGTACTTGTAAGAACAGCCCAAGGTTATGAGGGAATGTTTTAAGTTACGGAACATTTGCAGAAAACTTTCGTTCTTGCATTTACTGTGTTTAATTGGTTTCATCTGTCCATGGTTTCATCTGTCCAATCCAGCTTCTTTTTTTCTCATCTGTGATGTCCTCATTTTGATATAACTGGTCTATTTGTTTAATAACTGCAGTACTGATTTCCATCCCCCCTCAAACTCTGTCTGCCACCTATCTATCCACCCCCACTCCACCTCCCCATCTCTAATCCTCTTACAGTGCCTTTCCTGGGAGGATTACACACAAAGAGGGGAGAGGGTCTTGTTCTCATTGTTAGATCGCGGGAAAAAGAGACTCAAGACCAGTGTGACTTTCAGCTCTTTATTTAGTTCCTAAAATCTGTTCTAACCACGGAGCCGCGGCAGCCTCTTTTATGCCAGCTGCTTCGCGGCTCGCAGCCAATGACGACTCCTTGAATCTCCCGCCGTCCAGACGGGCCAATCACAGGTTAGTAATATGGCCCAATCAGAAGAGGGTAAATGGGCCAATCAGTAAGCTGTATTGGTGGACCAATCATATTGCAGGATTACAAGTATGTTAATATAGAACACCCCTCCCCTCTTGGTTTAGTCCATCCTACGTTATGTAGTCATGTAAGTAGGCGGGGCTTTTAGGGTGTCTACTTGACCTGCGCAGTTTAGTTGCGTTGTTGTCTTCGGCTGGTTCGGACGGGATCTCTGTTGCTCCTGTCCTCTGTGGAACCTCCTGGAAGGGTGAGTCAGCCCTGCCGCTCCCGCCTGGTCTACCCGGGCTGGTCGAGTCGGCTCGGCTGTTCCCCTCCGGAGTGGCTTCTTGTTGGTTTTCCGCTGCCTGCTCCTTTCTACCGAAGTCGTCTTCAGGTAAGTAGTTATGGTTTCTTACTGGGGTTTTGGGTGATGTTGGTTGGCGGTTTATTGTTGGAGTTTGTTGTGTTGTTTCTTGTGTTAGTGGAGGGTCTCCCCTCCCCTTTTATTTGTGCTTGAGGGGTCTCCCCCCTCTCTGGTTTGGTTATTATTATTATTTTTATGTTTGGCGAGGTTCTGGTGTATGTGTGTATTCTTCTCCTTCGCCCCTGGTTTTATTTGTTTTTTTCTAGTGTTCGTGATCTTAGCTGATCTATGTGTCTCCTCCAGCTTCTTCCGTCCTGTTTCTAGTCTATATGATCAGGGACCCGTTACCTGTGTTATTTTGGCGGGTATCCACAGTGGGTCTCCCGTGAGATTTTTTGCGTAGACTAGGTCCCCTGTTCCGAATGTGCGGTGTTTGCTGGAGGAGTCTGTTGGTTTTCCCGGGCTGTATGTGGGGTGAAGTCTATCTAAGTGTGATCGTAATTTCCTGCCCATTAACAGTTCAGCAGGGCTTTTATTCGTGGTGGTGTTGGGTGTGATATGTTGTATGGCTAGCATTTTGCAGATTTTTTCTTGGATGTCCCCCATGTCTAGTTTCTCAAGGGTCTCTTTCGTGTACCGAACCATGTGTTCCACCCGCCTGTTCGTAGCTGGCCGACCCGGCGCTGTCAGGACATGCCTTATGCCCAGTTCTGCGAGGAATTTTTTGAATGTTAATGCCGTGAATTGCAGGCCGTTGTCTGAAACCAATAAGTCCGGCAACCCGTGTGTAGCGAACAGCTTCTTCAGCTGTCTGATGACGGCTTCTGTGGTTGTGGAGTTCATGGTGCTTACTTCCAACCAATTTGAGTAAGCATCTACTGTTATTAAAAATGTGTGTCCCTTTGTCGGCCCTGAGAAATCGATATGGATTCTCGACCAGGGTCCCCTCGGTGTTTCCCAGTCGAGCACCGGCACGGCAGGGGGTGTAGGCCTGGTTTTTTGGCATTGGTTGCACGTTCCCACCCATGTCTCTATATTCTTGTCCATCCCTGGCCACCATACGTAACTCCTGGCCAGGGATTTCATCTTTACTATACCCGGGTATCCGTCATGCAACATATCCAGCACCACTTCCTGTAATCTTTCTGGTATGACAGCCCGATCCCTCCATAGTACAAACCCCTTCAAAATCGAGAGCTCAGTTTGCCGGTTACGGAATGGTTTAAACATCTCGCCGTTATCGGTTTCCGGCCACCCTTTACCTACCCAGTTTAAAATCCGTGCCAGCTGTCTGTCTCTTGCGGTTTCTTTTGCAATGTCCGACACGGTTATGGGTAGGATGGATAGAGTCTCAATTTGTAGTGTGGATGTGGTTGGTGCCGGGTCATCTTCTAGTTCAGGTAGGGGGGAAAGGCTCAGGGCGTCAGCGTGTGGTATGCTTTTCCTGGGCCGGTGGATTAATTGGTAGTTATACGCAGCAAGGAACTCGGACCACCTTGTCATCCATGGTGATAATATGTTTGGGGTGGCCTTGTTCCCTGCGAGTATCCCCAAGAGTGGTTTGTGGTCTGTATGAGTGTGAAAGTCCTACCATAGAGATATTCATGGAATCATTTTATTCCGGTGATCGCTGCTAACGCCTCCTGGTCCAGTTGGGTGTAGTTCCTTTCTGCCTTGGACAACGTCTTGGAGTAGAATGCGATCGGTGCTTCTATCCCATCTGGTAGTGTGTGGCTGAGTATGGCCCCGACGCCGAACGGTGATGCGTCGCAGGTCACGGTCAGTGGTAGGGTTTCACTGTATTGAATGAGTACTGATTCAGATGTCAGTAAATCTTTTATTCCTTGGAACGCAGCTTCCTCCCATCAGCCCCATGTCCAGGTAGCTATCTTATCTAATAGTCTATGCAGTGGTTCCGCTGTTGTTGCCTTCTGCAGCAAAAAAACATTATAAAAGTTAATGAGTCCCAGAAATGCTTGCAGGTCTGTTTTGTTCTGTGGTCTGGGGGCTTCTTTAATAGCTTTTCTTTTCTTTTTGGTGGGGTGGATTCCTTGTCAATTAGGTACCCCAGGAATTCAACTTTCTCGGTGGCTAGCTGGCATTTTTCTTTTTTTACTTTGAGTCCCGCCTCTTTAAATCTTTGTAGGACTTCCCTGAGGCGGCTTTGGTTTTTGTCCTTAGCGGATACCAGCACGTCATCGAAGTAGGGCACCACCCCTTTAATTTCCTGTAATAGGCTCTCCATCAAGCTTTGGAACACCCCTGGGGCCACACTGACTCTGAATTGCAACCTTTTACATTTAAATGCCCCCCTGTGAGTCACAATGGTTTGTGCCTCCGCTGTTTCAGAATCGACAGGCAATTGCTGGTATACCTGAGCGAGATCGAGCTTTGCGAAGACTTTTCCTCCCCCCAACGAGTGTAACAGATGTTGCACCACTGGAACGGGGTATGTGCTTTGTTGCAGCGCGTGGTTGAGGGTGGCCTTATAGTCTCCGCAGATGCGCATGGACCCATCTGGCTTAATCGGAGTCACAATTGGGGTTTCCCACCGTGCGTGGTCTATCGGTTCCAATACCCCTTGTGCGGTGAGCTTATCCAATTGCTCATCGATCTTTGGTTTGAGTGCGAAGAGGACTCGCCTTGCCTTTAAACGGATTGGGGCTATGTTTGGGTT